GCTGTTTCTTCGATAGTTAATTGATTGCATCATTGTATCAGTATCAATGGATATTACTTCGAATACCTACGTTAGTCTCGATAAGGTGCGCAATAGGTTACACGTGTCGATAAACATTTTCTCGTAAATATCGTTGTCCTGCGGAAATATGTAACAACGTTGAGTCTTCGATTTGACGTTACGGGAAAAAAATTTTCGAGAAATAAAACGAAATTATTCTTTAACCATTTAGGTTTAGAGTTAACAACTTTCCATACTTTTTCACTCTGAATTCGATATTCTCCCATGTACTGATATAAAAATATGGCACTTCTTTTTTAAAAAGACGAAGTTGACGTTCGAATCTTCGAAACGTTCCTACTTATAAAACAAATACATGCAATATATGACGTATACATATACGTGATAGCGGGGCGAATGGGTGTGCGGTCTTAGTTCTAAGGGAATGCGTGGAAATGCTTGGGCCGCTTCTCGAAAAGCGAGGAATAATGCGAGAGCAGCATCGGGTTCGATTCGGGCGTTCAGGCCGATATCTAGGATGCGAGCGAAAGAACAAACGATAGCACGAAAGAATCCTCTTGATGGGATATCTATGACTGTATCGAATGATTGAGAGAAAAGGCCTGTGTATGAAAAGGGAGAGTTTTGGCTTTAAGCAAGGATACAAGGGCGCAGGAGAGCAGAGAAGGCAGAATGTGTGTAATCGAGAAGTAGTGAATAGAGGATCGTGTGTTTGAGAGTTAGAATTGAGAGAAACTTAGTGTAATATTTTAGTTAAAAAAACCTGTTTCGATAGTTGTTGTTTATTAGACGCGCAGATCTCTGTCTGCATAGCATTAATTTAGCAAAAAATCCTACACATATATAACGTATTTTAGGATACCATTTCGGAAAGAAATCGCGAATCGGCCATTACCAACTAAAACAAATTATAAACCGATCAAACCGTTGGTGTTATTCTGTTCTTGTTGTTTCGTCAATTTTTGGTATCACAAAACCAGTTTTCGCCATCCTACAGTATCGTACTATGCAACTTTTATACTTTTATGAAAGATTGTTTCGTGCACTACACGCTTTAAAAATTATTCCCGATGTGCAAGACGTATGTCTGTATAATATAATATACCTATATTATATATATTTAGTTATAGTTACTATCTTTTTTAATAATCATCCTTGAACAAGGTTCTTCGCATCTTATTAACATTAACAACAGTGTGCGTCAGTAGCGATATTTTACAAAGTCGATTTGCGGCGGAAAAAAGAAATTTGCATGGCTCAAGGAAAAGACGAATTCCGAATTTTGACGACAGCATTCGATTTATTTTTTTGTTAAAAAAAGTTTAAAAACGATCGTTAATAAACGTGTTTGTAATTTGGAATGAAGCAGTGAGTCTCTTGGTATACGATATTATGTTATTTCGTTGATATCGAAAATAATACTGTAGGATGGCGAATACTGGTCTTGAAATACCGAAAATTATCGAAAGAACAAGAACGCGATAACACAAACTCAAAACTCGTAAAATGATTCAACTTAGGAAAAGAACACCAAGATAACGAAACGAAAACGCACATAGGCGCACTCTTTTAAAACTCTCTTTCCAACACCAAACGACTCAATCGGTTGTGCTAGTCACAACCGATTTCTAAGAACTCTGTTTTGGTTGTCAAGGACCACGCTTTTTATGCCTTCCTTAACCTACGCTTCACCTCCCCGTGGAGGAGTCAAGCAAATTAATTTTGTAACTTAACTTATAACTTTTGGATTTGCTTCTAGAAGATATCGATCGGTTTGCAATTTGTTTTTGTTGGCAATAGCCGATTCGCGATTTCTTTTGGTATCCTACAGTACTGATTCTTTTTAGAAGAGATAAAGAGATAACAGATAACGTAGAATGAGCGTGGATACTAAAAATTAACGGAATATATTTTGCTGACTGTAAACTAGATATCTAGCTTGGGAGAGGAAATGGAGGGTAAGATGTTGGAGATGTCGGGTTAGTGAAATATATAATAATAGTAAAGTAATAAACTACCTTATGATTTTACGTTACCGGTCGAAGTATTAGGTGTGAATGTTGATTTCATATGTGTGAATGCGAATGAGGTTGAATAAGCGAAACTCATTTGCGATGATATAAATATAATATGTTCGAGTGCAGTCTAATATGAATGATGTTTGAAAAAATGTTTAGAAGAATGTGCCAGAATAAAACAGTTACGTGAGGATCATCAAAGAGGAAACATGGGTATGTAACGGTTAGTAAGAGTGAGAGAGAGAGAAGAATTTTCTAGAAAGTGTCAATCAATTTTTTTGTTTAAAATAGTTTATCGCGAGTTGTTTTCATTATTTAAATATTTTTATCTAAATATACTAATGTGTTAACTGTTAAAAGTCGTAGAAGATATTGTTGTCCATTTCTACCACATTAGGAACTGTAAAACGAGTTTCAAAGAATATTCCGAGTAAGGTTCGAGTTTATGCTTTCACATAGGGTACGCGCAACTAATTAATGGTCCCTCCAAAGACCACTCTTTCAAATCCTTACTACGGTAGTTTCAGGTGGAGCATTTCCTGTAATATTTATTTGGCTAATGATGCGTCTTCGTAAGTAGTTAACGCTGCCGAGTTCGTTGTAAACGTTGAAAGACTAGTTTCAGGTTTAGTAGACTTATCCGCGGTATAAATAATGCATAAGTCTTGGAAAACCTTGCGCTAGATATTATTATAATTCTTCAAGTTTTACGTTTCTTCGAATTTTAACGAGCGCTTATATTACAAATTAACAATTATTTCGAATACTGGCTTAGATTTTGCACTTTCGACTATACCACCGAATAATTTTTTATTTCACATATTTCTACAAAACGATACTGATCCATTATCACGTTAAAAAGATCTTTAACGATAAATATTCTATAGGAATACTTTGGTCGTCGTATTTTTATTTTTATTTGAAGGAATATGTAACAAAGTTAGCTCTTATCTAATTGACTTGCTATACGAAATGTTTAATAATATGTGAAACGCATGATCGAGAAAATGATTGAACGTCGATAATAACGAAAGAAGTTCACGTAAACAAATACCCTAATTATCCTTATTTGTGAAACAACTAAATTCCTTCTGTTATTTGTTATCTAAACTTGTCTTTATGGAAAGTTATTAAAACGACTATGTTGCATTTCAAAACCGGTATTCCAGTTATTCTCCTTATTTCTCAAAGTTATTTCGTTTCAGTGGTTGTCAACCTTCTTCATCGCGAGACACGTATAAATGGATATTATCATATTCGCACTTAGCGGTCTAAAAGAAAAAAAGATCAGTATCCCCGATTAAATAATTAATTATCGCGTGATTTAAAAATTTTCACGATACGGCTAAAAATTATCGCTATACAGGGTGTGTGAAAAATCGTAGTACGAAAATTAAGTAGGAAAACAACGAATATTTTTTTCATTTAAAACTTCGTTTTCAAAAAAAAAGCAAATGTGTTTAAAAATCCACTAGAAACTCGCCTGCTAATTAGTAGGTAAGTTTCGACATGTCGGTCATTCGTTTCTGCTTATATTCGTATCTTTAATTTTTGGCGATATTACGGTTTGTTTCCTGTTATTATTGTTATCGCCCCGATATCGCTTTATATTATTATTTTCCTTTATTTCGTACTTATTTCGTATGATTTTTGAAATAATCGCTAAGTAATCGCTATTTATTTCAGCAAGAAACACCATTTTGATTTGTATATATTGAATAGTACAAATCGATATAGCGATAATGACTAAAGGTTGATAACAATGTATAAATTTACGTTCGTAAACACAAACACGAACAGAAACGAAACTCCGATAAGTACAGATTCACGTAGTATACGAATATTTTTATTTGCCTCGGAAACAAAGAAAAGCTTTAAGCGAAAAGACGATATTCTCTCTTACGACTTATTTTTATACGTAGGATTATTACTAGGTCGGTTCTACCACGTTTTTCGGGATCTGTATCGAATAAATCCGAATGATATATTTTATATAAACTAACAACGAATAAACGTAATAATATTGCAAATATTAAACTCTAATCGATATAATAAATCTTTCTTTATGAGCTCACTGCACTCTACAACCTTTGCTTTTCGACGCTATTCGTGACTGTTTTGTCCCGTAACGTAAATTAACGATTTCTCGCAATAATCGTAAATTATACCAGTGGTAAGATCGCCTTTTCGCGTTAACAATAAACATTCCAGGCACGTACGTCGGTATTCACGCCATCTGTTGTCCACGCGCATTTACATTCGGCAGCTCTGGCTTTGTACCTTTATAACCAAATCCACACCGAACACCCTGTATATTACCACGGTATATCGGTTGAAAAGCATTGTTCTATTTTACGATATAGTATTTCGAGATTTTCAATGGACGTTATGTATACGATAAATTTCAAGTACCTATCCTCGCACGTAAAAATCCAATGGATTTATATCCTGGCAACGAGTAGATCATGCAATAAGACCTCCGCGTTTAATCCAATTATTCGGAAAGTTTTCTTTAGCTAAGCCGAGATTCTCCATTCTACAAAATTCGTGATATCGTATACGCGATAATAAATATCTAGGAAAACGTACAATCTATGAAGGTTGGAAAGAATTACGTGTAACAAAAATTAAAATTAAAGGTGAGAAAGAAAGAAATAAAATATTAAAGGTTTATGCTTAAAATTAAATTTCGTATTTAAGTTATTATAATGTTTTACTAAATTTATTCTTTTTTTTATGCAAGAGTTAAAAATTGGAAATCGCTCTAAATTGCGAAACAAAGGTTTCTCTCATTAATAATCAGGGACAAATATAACGTACGTTTATACGAACATTTTTCATTATTTTCGGCTATTCCATTCACATCTGACTTGAATCTCATAAATTTCGAATTTCTCGTGTACCATGAAAAGCAAATAAAATTTTCCAAAATTAAACGCAAGATAAAATTATTGTTCTCAGGTCTGTTGACCGCCATCAACTGTTACAACGTGAAATGGGCTACCAGAGTGCAAGACATCTTCACTGGGACCAAGATTTTCGCCCTGATAATCATCATGGTCGCTGGACTATGGTGGCTCTGCATGGGGCACACGGAAAATTTTCATCATCCTATGGATGGAACTAATACTCAGCCTGGCTACATTGCTCTAGCCGTTTACTCGGGCCTGTTTTCTTATTCCGGATGGAATTATCTGAATTTCGTCACCGAGGAGCTCAAGGATCCTTACAAGTAATTCGTCGCTATTTCTGTTCAAATTTTCATACGCGCTAACTGACGCTTCATTTTTTGCAGTTATTTTCATTGGAATACTAATTTTACATTCAGCTCCATTTTACTTCGATTAACCTGTATTATTAACTAACTATCGAGCCCCGATACTCCTTACTCATGATTACTTAGTTTATCTAGTTTTCTTCGTATCTATTTAATTTCTCCCCCCACCCCCCTCTCTCTCTTTCTTTCTTTCTTTCTATATATATATATATATATGTATACGGATTACGCGTGTACACGTATGTTTTCTTTTCCTATTTTTAAACTTTTCTATCTTGCCATTGACTGGTATCTAAATTACGAAAGTAAATAATCATTACCGTTACCGAAGACACTTTTACAGGTTTAATGTAATTGAAAATTCGATAGCGCAGGAATATTTTTCTTAAATTTCGTTTCAAGTTAGTAATAATTTACCCTTCGAAAATCCCCATTTCGCAATATGTATATATCAGCAAGCTATCAGAAACGAAGAAAATAAGCTTGTAAAAGCTTCTATAATATTAAGACGTACCTTAATCTCGTAAACACGTTGTCACGATAAAGTGAAAAGCTTAAATACTAAAATGGCTTCTTTTTGAAAGCCATATCATAAATCATCGTTTAATCATTTTTACAACAATATCGTATTTCATAGTTGTTTCCGTAAATCGCTCGATGTATTTATTTTCGCAATAGCCATATTTTGTCCCTTAGCAATACTAGAGAGTCATATCTTCTACTCAACCGATACTTTATAAATATGTCGATGTACGAATGTCACATACAAATGTTACGAATATTATATATGTACGAACATTTTTCATTCATTATTTATTTATCATTGTATACGTATAATTAATATCCGTTTTTGATTAATTATTAATATACATATCAATGTTCTTCTTTTATTACTTAATTGTTAACCCCCTTCCACTATGATTTTATTATAAAAAATTGTGCCCTGGAGAGGCATCTATAGCTAATCTATAACTAATTACGATATATTTGTTTCATCCAGAATAAATCTAGATAAATCCAAATTTTTAGAACCAATATAAATTTTATTGGTATTAAAATGTGTTAAGTATAATTTGACTCGTATGACAAACTAGACTCGTCATGGTACAAGAGGTTAATAGCTTTAGAGAAAAGATAGCGAGCTCGAGATCCTTCTGAGAGTTAACATCAAGTATACACGTATCCACAAAAGCTACACTTGGCTCGCGAACCACAATTTGGCCGCTGATTTATAGATTTAATGTACCATAGCATATTAGAATAACGATACATGTCTCCGGGATCGTTTAATACATTCATGGCCAACGATGCTAAAGCGAATTATTAATAGTAACTGATGACGATGGGAAATTTGTTAAAGACGAAATTGAGATGGACGTGAAGAAATAATTCGAGTAGCGAAAATGTTGCCTATACGAGAAAAAGACACGGTGATTCGTATATGAGCATAATTTTAGACGTGAAAATGTTTCGATTAAGATAAATCGGTGTAAAGTATGTTCTTAATATTCGCACTGACAGATATTGGAAAAGATACGATGAATGAGGAATTGAATATCGCTATGTACTCCATGACTGATGTGTAATTGACTACGATAAGATGATATATCGTTGCTTCCAGAGATTTAATCCTGGTACATTATCTCGTTATCCCGATTGTCGAAGCTCCACTGAAAAAGATATTGGAAGGGAAGATGTTAAAAAAGAGCCATTTTTAGCATTGCCTGGAAATGAAAAATTCCTCTATCATTTTGCCGAGAAACGATGGGAAAGTCGTGAAAAATGAGTCGCAATACGTGAAAATGATGCTGATCAAACATACTCGAGCGTCGAAAAAAACGTCGTGTTTCGTCGTCTTTCTCTTCGGATACTGAACCATCTTCGAAATAATTAGCGAAGATCTCAGCTGGCAAATGAACCGAAGATTTAAATCGAGCAAAGCCGAGCAGTACCCAATACCGCGTTCTCCAACTTTGCATCCACGTGTGTGTGACGACAGCCGACCTGAATCATCGATATGACTAGACTTCCAAAATCCAAGACGCAACCCTGTGACATCAGCCTACATGAATCACCAGACGACCGAAACCCCTAACTCCAAATTCCAAAATCCAACCCCTTCCAAACCATTCAGGACAAGATAATAAGAACATATATATATATCCCAACCCAGAACCAGAATAAAGTCAGTCTATCTCTAAACCTATACACGTTCTTTTTTCTATACGGAGAGTATCTCGCGTAAAAGCCTTCCTGAACTATTTTCACTCGCGTGTCTAAGCTAGTCCCGTGACATGTGCGTGCAAGAACAGCTTCCAGTCCGACTTTTTCCATTTTTATCTATTAACATACATCTAGGATCGCTGCGGGTAGATTGGCTAAAATAGCGCTGTTTTACTTCTTAATAAAATACAATAAGCTTATACGTAGATTGACGGCTATGAAACAAGAGGGATTCGCTATGGGCGCGTTCAACTTTCACTTCTTACTGACACACTCTTAGACACTAGCTTAAGAACTCTTAAAAACTGTTAAAGGCTGGAAACTGGAGCTGCCCGCGTCCTTGCACCCTATTTAAAACATTCATTCTGTCCTTTTCCATACCCAGGCTTTCCTTTCCAATCATGCCCCTTTTTCACCTAACCTCCGTGGGCCAGGTACTTCAATCACTCTGGACGCATCCCTAAACTTTCGCTCCACCCTACCATAAACATTCTTTGCAGTTAATTCGCTTGCACGCGGTCACTTTCACCCTAAGCCCAAACACACTTGGCATCCTTTCAGGGCTGTACTTATTCCAATCCCACATACATTTATACAAAATATTTTGAAGTATTTGAATGCTGTGGATGTATTTTCGTCTTCAGTAAAATGCTGTTATTTCGTTCTACAGTGATTTGATATTTTTGATAATCCATGTAATACGATGGTGTTGCAATCTTTTGATAATCTATGCGATATGATGGTGTTGCAACATGGAAATTGAAATCTCCGTTTTATATAAGTATATATATATATATATATATAAGTACTCGTAACTTAATGCTGATAAGATTCTAATTGTACGACTTCTATATGTTGAAAACATGTTCATGTTTTCTATATATAGCAGTTGTTCCAAAGAATTAATCTCATTCGAATATTGCAAAATCCTATCTATAGTGATCTGGGCAGCGATACGTATCGGATAAAATATTGCGTTTAGAATAGCACGAACTATTTTAAAGTCATGGAATAAGATGAGCAATGTAATATTTTGGATACATTTATAAAACAGCTATTTATGCGTCCATTAATTACTTCGACCATCAACTAATTTTTTTCTAATAACTCATTGATTGGTTTGTTCAACTGTCAATTTCCGAGGTGCAAATTATGGCATTTAAGCAATGAATTCTCTTCTTGTGACTTCCTTCAAAAAGTGTCAAAAACCACGATCCACGACGAAAACATCATGCGCATTAAATTGATTCTACGTATCGGCATCTAACAAAAGTCCATTTAGAATTGATGTATTATTTTTAGATTCATAATATAGTCCCTAAATATTTGCTATATAACCGTCCATATAACCAATTACTGACTCAGTAGCAAAGAGGAAGATGACGAAATATAACGCTCGAGTATATTCGATCAATCTCATTTTTACATATTTCGACTCATTTTTGACAATTTTTCCATCATTTCTCGGTCAAGTAATGAAGGAATTTTTTGCTCCTTGAAAGATGCTCGTGAAGGATCTAAAAAAAATTTTTTATTTTCAGGCAAACCCAGAAATGACCATTTTTTAACATCCTCTTTTTGTAACGAAATAGACAATTATAAAACTTACCAATGAATATAAATAATATTTCGATATTTCTATATTTAGACTTTTATAAGAATATTTCACGTTTCGGGATAAGTTCTTGATTAATTTGAATAACATTGCACATTCGTAAAATCATCGAGCTTGCAATTGTTTCGATTTTCGAAACAATCATTTTTAATATGTTTAGGGAGAAATAAAACGATCCAGCATTAATTGATATATCGTGTCTATGAATTCGAAATGGATTCTTCTGTTATCTATTATTATCTATTATTAGCTGTTGCTAGTTTACGAAAAAATTAAGTGCTTTTAAACGTCCAAGATATTGAAGAGAATTTAATGATAGTAAATTGGTAGTAAATGATAGTTCGTAAACCGAGCTCGCATTCAAAGTTAATAAACAATCTTTTTCGTTTTATTGCTCGACGTTAAATCTTTACGTCTATAAATTGCAGATAATCCTGACTACAGACTTCAATGGTATCACTTTGTCATCAATCAAAGCCGCCACTTAATCCTTAACTACGATACAGAGGTACCGTGTAACTCGTCTGTGAAACCGTCCATAATTTTTATTCGTTCTTATTCTTCTCCCTCGCTGTTGCGTGTACGATTTTCTCACGCTATGCGAGACTTTCGATCAGAGTATAATATTCGATTAGTAAAATTTTCGGCAATTTACGTGTTTTTCAGTTACAAATAAAATTGATTTACTTTTCACTAGTGATGTGGGAGGTCACCTATAGAAAATATCTTATTTTTTTATTTATTTTCCTTTCGATATTATAAAGATCCCCGATTTTGTTTCTGAATAAAGTTTGATTTTTAATCGTAAATTTATTTCTTTTTTTTTCGTATTTATTTTTATTGTACTTTTGTCAGTTACAAGAAAAATCTGTATTTATTTTCATTCAGAACTGAATATCAACTGCTATTTTTTTCCCTATATCTTTATGTTAAAAGAAAAATTCACAAGAACATTAAGAAGACATCACATAAATGAAAATCTCAAACTATAATCATAATTGAAAAAATACATAAGTGATCATAATAGATAATTGTAAGAAGAAACATTTTAATACGTTTACTTCGTTGACTTGATTGTGCGTTACTGACATACGAAATAAAAACAACTCGTTCTGATCTTTATTCGACACTTGTATCTCTGTAATAACGTAAGAAACATTGGCCGTCTGTGAGAATTTCTATAATGTACTCGCGTAAGTTTCAACGTTTATGGCAGTTAATGCTAATAATGCCAATTAATTCGAAAATTTTACTTCAACGATATAATTTTTTATCTAAATTAACGTTTCGTTGTTTTTGCATATTTATACAGTTATTTACACAGTGCCTATAATTTTATTACACGTACATTACACTTACACATTACCATACACATTACAGTTACAATTGGAATCTCTACATTGTCAAGACGTTAAAATCACGTAGGAACTATATGCAATTATTTGGCTCTGTTCAAAAGTCCTGCGTCTTTGTATATTTCTCAAATGCATATGGTTAAAAATATTGGAAACGTATTTTCCAAGAATCCGAGAATAATAAAACTCGAAATAATTGAATCCTCGCATTATGATCAAAAACGACAAAACTTTTCTCTGCCATTTTATTTAGGATTGCAAGTTCAAATTACACATTCGGTTTTAAAAATGCACAGACCATTGAGAAAGAAAATTATTAATGAAAAACAAGTTTTACAGAAAAATATAAATAATTGGATTGGATTACTAGCAATGAGACTTTTAGTCTTTCACAAATTAATAGCACCATATGCAATAACAAAGATACGATAGTTTCTAACATATTTTTAACAATTAATGTATCGTATTTTAGTATCGATTAATTCGAGGCCGTCTTGTAATATGCATTTAGCGTTTTATTAACTAAATCGAAAGTTGTTTATAAGGTGAATATTTTACCTTCGACGCAAATGTTATTACATTTTATCACATTCTTCGCAATTTTGTTCGTAGCGAAGATAATTAGCTTGAGAACCTCTTAATTATACGAAATAGATTGTATAAAATTGAATATTATTCAACCATGTCGCGAAAGGTTTACGCGAGAAACGCGAATCAAATGAAAAATAGTTTTGCAAAGAGCAAAACCGATATATTTAATATTGTATTATATTTCATATTCGTACATATTATAATAAAATAGGAAAATTAGATTTTTAAAAGAGAAATTATTAAATATTCGAAAATACGAACAAATATTAACTTTTCATATCGTATTTATTCTTCTCTATCTTTGACTTTGCTGGGCGTCGTGGCACGTTTCTGTGAACGAATCTCTCGTATTTCTGGCTACTTCCATACTTCTCCAATAAAAATTCTACGTTGGTAGAATTGACCATGGCCGTTACGATTGCAAAATTGTCCGTGAACACGCCAACAATGATTCCAATGTCCTGCCAACTCGTTGAGATTCGGTAAATGACCCTGTCATTGCCATGTCGTTGCCCATTTAACCACAGTGTAGCGGGATCTCGCGTTCCTGTGTATCGCATCTTATTGTTAGAGATACGAAGATGTATATCTGGTCGTGTCGTGCAGCGCCATCTTGCTGCGCAACGTCACCTCTCTTGCTGTACCACACCTTATAAGACCTAAAAAGTCTATAAAAGATAATCAACGAAACACCGAACACGTCGTATTCCACTAATTTTCAGCTCCAAATTCACCTAAATGCAATAAATATTCGATTCGAAGAAATTTATTTCTAATATATAAGAAGAAATTGTTTATTATCTTTTTCAAATTTTACAACGGAGTAAGCCAGATTTTACTAGCTTCTACGTATTGTTTTCTCTTTAAGGGGTAGAAGATAGCAAAAATAAGGGTGTTAGGTTATATCTGTAGATTTTTCTCGTGTTTATATTTTTTCATAACGACGAAGGGTAGACAGCATTCTTATAAATTATTATCGAAACTTGTAACATCGTTGCCCAAAATTTCATTTCATCAAAATGTCTTCCATTAGTCTTTATTTAAATATTTCGTAACTGATGCGATATCTTCAGTGTGCAGATTGATTTTGTTCGGAAATTTGAAATATCGATTTCCTTCAAATTCTGATGCATTTTCGATCCACGTAATTAATATCTTCCTATTTTTGGACATTTTCGCATAGCTATAATTATAATTGTATATATAAACATCCCGATTTGCGATAAATATAATAACGTTACATTTGTATTAAAACAGATATATTATATTTACATCTACAAGAATTAAAATTCGTGGAAAGAAAATTAGTTCGCTTTTCTATTTTCGCGCTATTTTTGCAACGAATGACATTTTTAAATTCTGATTTAAAAACATTTTATAATCCATACATTCTATGAACTAGACACTACGATAAAAAATACCTGTTTGACCACTTAATTTGTTAACAGATAGTATTCAAACGCGAAATTAACGAAGGTTTATAAACGATTATTTTCAGTGAAACTGATCTAAATCTCGGCAAATATAATATACTAAATATAATATAGCATATTTCTTGTATACAATTTAAACGTATCGTTGGCATCGAAAGGCAAGGAATTTCTAAAAAAAATTAATTATTCCGTTCATAATATTAATAATTATCGTGACGAATTAATACGTCCTTCTAGCAAAAATTACAGGTTCATCGTATTTGTGATAATAAATAATAGTAATTTTTCGATTTTACCTATAAAATAAATTTAATTTGACACGTATATTATTTGAAATTTTTCATAGTCATACCATTGGGACGAATTTGACAAACAACGTATAAAGCTACTTTTAAAACGCGATATTAAATTTTCATTGCTTCTGTCCTCGTTATCTCCCTTGTCTTTTCTATTTCTTTTGAACTATTTCTTATTCAGAATTTTCTTCCTTTCGATTCTATCGTACATTGCTAAATTAATACAGAGATACTAATCGAAATAATACTTTTATCGCAGACGGTATATTTAAGGAACAAACGATACTTGCATTTTATACGATGCTTATTCAAAGATACCTTCCTTGTCTGAACCATAATACACGTGTGGCTAAATTTACGAAATAAGACCCTGACAAATATTATTTTTACATAGTACTCTTTATCCGGTGCGAGAGTAGGCGAGCGAGTGAGAGAAAGAGAGGGGAAGAAAGTGGATTGAACGTCCGAATATCATCGCAAACAAAGATCTTTGTCGTATTCGGAAAGTTATATTTGAAATGCGGTAAAAGTGATCCATTTGTGAATGATTTTTATGCAGTTTTTATTTGAAACATGTTTGTGTTGACTACAAGTCCGTTCCGTGACCTTTCTTTCTTTCGCAAAATTCAAATGACAGACATGGAAAAAATGATTATAGAACGATTTATCTTTCTCGTTCTTTCGTTAACGAGTAACGATTCTACAACAACGAGAAAAGCGAAAATAACAAAAGTCGTTGAAATTGCAATTTTCCATATAAATACAATTTTCTAAATAATTATCTACGAGGGACGATTTATTCGAGTATAAAATTTTCCACGTTCAAATTCAATTTCGGCGTAAGAACGATGGAATAAAGATCGATAATTTAATGGGGAAAATTATCTTGACACTGTATTATAATAGATGCACATGCATAAAACGTTTAATTATCATTGTTGCAGAAATCTTCCAAAGGCGATTTGTATATCGTTGCCGCTGGTAACCGTGATTTATGTCCTGGCAAACATTGCGTATTTCGTAGTGTTAACGCAAGATGAAATTCTCGCTTCGAATGCTGTCGCTGTCGTAAGTTTTTCTTTTTCTTTACCTAAATCTATTCATTTCTACGTTAGTATGTAAATTACGCGAAATTAAAAATATTGATTTTTCAAAAATACCGATGCTGGAAATCTTTTACAATATCCATTCAAAAATGTTACTCAAAAGTGGTAGCTTAAAGTAACAAAATTATGGGATATTATATTCAGATGATCGTACCTGCACGTATGAACCATGCGTGCGCGTGCGTGTGTGTGCCTTCCTTTATTTTTCTTCTTTTTCCCAAAAATCATATCAGAATTATTATGAGTATTTTTATACTAATTTAGCTATATAACTATATGGCTGTTTTGAATGCTCATACAGAAGTCGTTTCTAAGCTCGTTTCTAAAACGTCGTGATTGAAACTTCAAATAACTATACATCTGAGAATTAGATTTATTTGTGGAAGTAATTTTCATCTCAGTTTTGCTTTAAACTAGTATTAAAATGCGAAGGTTTATAAAATTTAGGAAAGTAATTATTTTATTTTTTTATCAGTGATTTACAAACTAGTCAAACATAAAATAAACTAATTAACGATGTAATAATCTGTAATTAAATAATTGATATTTTGTTACTTAACTGTGTAATAATTTGATATATTTTTTTAGCAATTAATCGATTACCTAGTCGATTAACCCAATAATGTATAATTAAATAATTTAAATTGCATATAGCTAAATTAATATTATAATTTTTATACTGCGTAACATGACTGAAACAAACTATAATTTCGAATTGGTTGTAAAGAAAAATACACAAAACAAAATCGGACGAATTTGATTTAAGTATCGTATAATGTACAAATCTTTTGCGATTTCAGAGAATTTAAAGTCAATTTCATTCTTTTAAATTTGTTTTATACGTTAATCGATGTGTTTATTAGTTATTCTTTAAGATGAGGTATGATATATTTTGTATATTTTATAAAAAAAAGACAAAAAAAGAACATGTCAACTTTGATTTTGCAAAATAATATTTTGATTTATTAGGTATTATTAGGTATTAGAAAAGAAAAAAGTTGATAAACTAATTAAAATTTCATTTGGCATAATGTTTATAAAAAAATAATAATGTAGTTTAACGAATAAAGTTTTTTTTTCAAAATCAATGTAGTATGTATGTGGGAATGGCGAATAAATGACATTTTTTAATTAGATTCGATAGCTGAAGTATTCCTGTGTCGAACAAGGCAGCAGGTCTAACAACCAGGTCCCAGTGCTGAATAGTTTATTGCTCGGTATTCATTTGTGTATATTTATCAGTCCCCTTTATCATCTCAGATCACCGGACATGCGGCCTTCTGCTGCACTCAGAATTTGGCTGACAATAGACTTATCGGCATCGGAGCCGAACCAAGCACGTTGGCTAAGGGTGACTCCGGTTTTCGCATACGGGTGAACATCCAAGGCCCTCACTTCAAAGGAGGGGTTTACTCCACACCAAGAACGATGGTGGAGAAACTGCCTTATCCTTTGGAGATGACGGATCCGTGGACCAAGGGCATACCTTGGTCCGACGAACTGATAATGGCGAGAGCGTTCGTCTTTCAGCAGGGCTTAAAGCTCTTGACTTCGGAAGACAAGGGAGTCTAATTTTGATTCTAGACTCCAGAGTCTTGTAGCTAGTCTAGTCTTGAGGAGAGACTTGTGAGGAGTCTAGTTGAAGAGAGAGAGAGAGTTCGTATGCTGGGTCCATAGGCATAGTTGAGATATCAGTTGGAGTATAGATCAGTTGAAGTCACAGATAGCGAGTATGCTCATAGAGTGTCCCAGTATAAGGGTTAGGTCGTCTGCAGTGGTGTCCGAGTGGTGAAGGGTTCGAGCTAGTAAAATACAGTATGCCGAGAGGAGTGCCCTTTCGGGGTAACCCGAAAGGATTCTGCCGCGGGCAAGTGTACCTAGCGCTGTAACCTAACAGAGACTAGGTGTCGTTTTGTTAGGACTCCGTGGTATGAGCGTGTGTCTGCGCAACCTTCTGTAGCATACTTCATATCTCAATTAAATATCACATATGTCCACCAATTTTACTCATGCCATTTTACTCATTTAATCCTACCCAGGAGATAAGTCCTACATATTATGCAACATTGCTTCTCGAATAGTGCTACACGTGTTAATAGGGTACATTTTTGTAAAACAAGTACATTGTCTCAGTCATTTGATTACCATTGCATACCTAAATGTCGAAGTATGCTAGTACAACGTTTATGCCTTAAATATACTAATGCAACTGTACAAAGTAATTTATAACTCGATAACTTACAAATAACTCAAGCTATAAACCAAATGTATGTCGCTACCTGAATATATTGTAAATTTCACTTTTGATGATACATGTCTTTATTAAATAAACTTCTTTCGTAACACCTTGTCGAAAAAGAGGTCGTTTTGTCTATACTGATTATTTAGATAGGGCTTTATGTCACAACCTAGCGTTTTCACATCTAATCTCGTACTTGAGATTATTCTTGATACGATTGTCTTAACTACTGGATTAAATGAAGTACCATAAAGACACAATTGCTTTCATACAATTAGATTAGTACTCAAAATGCTTCGAGTATATATGCATTTAGAATTTTAGAAAAATTTCGAAAGAAATCAAAATTTAGTTTATAATAGTAATTTTCTTATTTAAATTTTCGTTGTTCCGTTACGTTTTCATATACAAAGATTCGTCGAGAGCCATTTTATTTGAACTTTTGTTAATCGATAAAATCTACCAAGTCAGTGGATAAAAAGGGAAGCTATAATTCAAAAAAACCCACTTCTGAAAAGCTCAAGAGTATAAAGATGGAGTATATACTTTTGCGAAAAAAACTCGTACACCGTGTACTGCTGCATTATGTAGAATCCATTTTATTTTACCTTACAAGATACTTCTACTTTGATTCCATTCGAAACTATAGATCCAATTATATAAAACATCGTGTATAATATTGTATAACGAACACGAATAAATATTATTCGCGATTTAATATCGAATTAATTATTAATTAGAACAGTATATTGTTAACTAATAACAATTGTGGCCAGTGAAATGGCCATTCTGAAACTTTGCTTGGTTAAAAATTCTGAAATCACGCGATATCATCGCTTTCGTCATTTACTCTTTTCTTATGATATAATACATATAATCAATTGTTCAATATTTATTTCTCTTGCTATTTCGGTTCTTCCGAAATTCGTATATATTGTAATTTGTTTACGACCAATAACATTTAACCGGTTGCAGAATTATGTTCTTTTATAACATTCCAAGAATATATCGTAACGGCAATAAAGTCATCAAAATCTATTTCAACTGTAAAAAATCTGTTTGTGAAAAATTATGTAGAGTCACACAGTCTCTACTCGCTGGAGAGTACCTCGGAATACTCAAATTCACTGCAGTCTGTATTTTCTATTCGATTCTCAATAACGCGTAACTCTCGCAATCACAACTCTCGGTCTCAACTCTCTCAAGGACTACCACAACTCTCTAATGACTATCTCAAAACTCTCCTCTATCTTCCAGAGCGGGCCCTTTTAAGCCCGTCTGGAAGGCAAGAGCCTCCCCCGAAGGAGGAGAAAGCTCCCTCCACGTAACGCTCTGGGGTGGAAGGGATTCCTCCTTCGGGTTAGGCTCTCCGAAGGGTCACCCACGCGGGGACCCTTCCCGAGAGGTGCCCACAGACGCGTCACCCCCGGTTTACAATGGGGAAAACCGGGGTTGAGCGAGGCTACCTCGCATGGCCTGGCCCCAACTTCCCCAGACTCGTCTGGCCGCCAGACGCTAACCGGGCCTCTATACCTGTGGAAGTCAAAAAATATCCTACAATTGCATATAAAAAGATGAAATATAAATCGATAATTTGGAAAAATTATGATATATAAGAATGAGACATGTATTATTGCTTTTCAAGTCTACAAAATTATACGATTATTTTTCTTTGTTTTTCCCGTTTCCATTAAAATCCACGAGGCGGACCAAAGAAGCTAGTCTTTTTTGTTGTCGTTTAAAAATTATTTAGTTTATTAGCATACACTCTATATCTGTTATTATCTATATTTTAAATTGTAAAAAATATAATTTGCTGCTAGATCGGTCATTTGACTGGTGGTAAAAATAAATACATTTAAATCGTCGATGGGTTTAATTTTAGATTCAATGTAAAATTATATACAGACGTTCACGATTGAAATGCGTTGCGCTTAAATTTCATAAATAACATTGTACCTAAAAGACACGAATGTTGAGAACAATGAGATAGTTGGGTAAAATTAGAAAAGATCTGGCGAATTCTTAAACACATAGTAAAAATTGGAGCAGTAAATATAAACGTACATACTTTTTACGAGAGTGATCAAAGAATTTGAATAGGAGAATTATTTCTACATTAGTTCGTGTCAATACATCGTGAATTATCGTTAGTTGCGATTCTCGTGCCCCACATTTTCACTCTTTCGAAGATTTTTTTCTCACAATCAGTCTACGCGTACAATACATTTGCATTCGATGCTCTACGAAATCTGTATTTATCGTCAGATTTCTTTATAATTTTCCACGCATATTACCGAGACTATTGTAATTGTTACATGGTAAACACAGCAGATAGATAAATGTTTATCTGAGAGGAATGTTAAATCAATTTGTAGTTCTTAATAATACCCAATTACGTATAATTAATGATTAATAATTCGTTTTAAGATATGATAATTAAACAATCGATATGACATTATTCGATCGCGTAATCGAGCATCCAGAAATATTTAGGACGATTTGTATTGTTCGTTATTGTTATTATTTGTCGTTCGGTTACAAATTATAAATGGCCGATTACGTTTGTACGAGTGTAATAAATACCGATCCCGACATAGCCGACATAAACCACTTAACACGACTATAGATTTGTCGGATTCACTACTATTTGTATAACCGATATTCGATCGAAGGTTCGTGCAAGTTCGTCGCCCTAGGTAAACCAAAGGAATTATCGAAAT